AACGATATACTGTTAGTCAACCGCATAGGCAGAGCGCGAAATGAAACACCGCTGGATTAACCCGCGCCATTGTCTCTATCATTCATGACGCGGTGTGTCAATCCTACAATAGGAAGCTACACAATAGTTCTATATCGTAGCTTCCGTGCCGCGGCGATCTATGATTCAATAACAAAAAGGGTACACTAAGCGCTGCGGGCACGTGTGAAAACGCGTTTCGTCCGGCTGTGCACGAAGAAAACAGAATAATGGCCGTTACGCACGCGGTATGCGTCATGCGGTAAACGTTGCGCGGATTGTGCAGATCGGTCCCGAACTCCGTGCGCTATCGATAAAGAAAGGTGCAGCTATACACCGCGCGCCGAAGGCTATATCGGAGGTACATGTTTCTCGCAATCAATGTGCGATAATTACTCGCAGCCAGTACGAAAGAAGACGCGCGGCGAGATTAAGACGCACCTGCCCCGAGCTGTCAAAATTGTGCAACGGCGTGTAAAACGACACGCTTCGATTTCGCCTCGAAATCTTATTTGCGCAAGCGCCTCACGACGGTGGTCTTGTCGACGTTATATTGTATCAAAGAGTACCATTGTGAAAGCAAAATGCATTATGCGGCTTCCTACGCGTGCATCTTTTTACGGAGGAATTTTTTAATTATCTTACCTCCTCGTGAATGATAAATGTAGATCAGAATAACGCATTTCTGTGCTAGGTAGATGCAGTGATATGGTTGTTATTACGATGGCAAATATCGGTGGGAAATAAGTAGAGGAAAGTCCTCGATTATGAGGCAGGATCATAATATGGGATAGCGGGGTTTCTCCTATTAAATTAATAGGCCTTATCAGTTGATTCCACCCATGAATTTATTGCCCTTGGAGCGAAATCTGTTTAGTGGAAAAATCGTTGTTAGACGGTGTAATCGCCGCGAAAAAGATTTGCGATTGAATTTGAGCGTTGAAAACTTGCTATCTCATAATAGAGGACTTTCCTTTAGTACTCTCTAAAAGTCAATCACTGGATTATTACTGAAAATAGTGAACAGTTGCTGATTCGCAGTTATAAGTAGAGGAAAGTCTATTATGGGATAGGATTCCAATATGGGATAGCAGGTTTTCAACATCCAAATTTAATTGCAAATCTTTACAACGATTACACGATCTATGAATGAATTTTTCGCTGAACAGATTTCGTTCCAAGGACAATAAATTCATGGCGGAATCAACTGATAATGCCTATTAATTTAATAGAAACCCCGCTATCCCATATCAGGAACCTACCTCATAATAGGGGACTATACCATTGAAAATTGCAGTGGTTGTAACTTTAAATCGGTGACTATTCACTGTTTTCTGCGAGAATTCGCTGATTGACGTTTAGAGTGCTAAATGGTAATCAGTTAAATCGTAAATTTTGTACCGCAAATTTCGTTAATAGACTTAACTGCAGGTACGACTACACTGAGCGAGAAATTAAATTACGTCCCTCTTACTTACATGCATCTAGGTCATACGAATTGAGGTTTATTCGCTATGATTCTCAAGGCAGAAGTGTCTTGAATATCGCACGACTATATTATTCGAAAACCTTGATCCATTGATTAACAAGCGCTCGCACGATCGATTTTCTAGCTATCAATTTTTCGGATTATCCGCCTCGTACTCGGTTACATTGTGAAATTGAATCTCGCTGGATCTTGTTAGACACGTCCTTTTAGACACATCTATTTAGACCACAATAGTCTGGCTAGCTTCGACGAAGAATTATGATTTATTCATGTGTATATAAAACTTGTACTGTTTTCTTTTCTCACTTTGTCGATTGTGCAGAGAGAAAGGGAGCAAGTACATTTATTCAATGAATAGGATTTATCTCATGAATAAAATATTGTTCCCGTTGATAGAAGAACGGATAGAGGAGTCTCGGTAAGACTTTATCCGTGCTACAAAAAAAAATCAGGCTAGAACAGACTGCGACGTGATGAGAATCTCGACTTATATCTGGCATTTTGCTGATACTCACGCCAAGTTTATTTGAAAATTCTGACGCGCTATCCTCGAGGATCCTCGCGTCGGTAAAACCGATATGATTAAATTCTAAGGAAGCTTACAAGGGAGAAAGGACGTTAAATCGCGAGTTATATCGCGAATAGAAATCTAAATTTAGCGAAGTTCGAGACTTCGACCCCTGTTTCGCGTTGCCATCCCCAAAAATGATGACCTCGCGATAGAAGGTCTTCGGGACATTCGGCAAGCGAATGGGAGCGCGGTAGGCAGTAGGCACGTTCTCCTACCTTTCGCCGTCGTCTGTCATGGTACGCTGTTCGTAGAGCGTGTCTGCGACTGGTACGCGGTCGCACGCGGCTCACACGCGCACCCACACCATCGAGATGCTGTCAATTCAAGAGCCGCGTGTGTACGCTACGCTAACTAGCACACGCGAGCCGTGAGAGCGAGAGAGAGAGAGAGCGCAAGGCCAGGACTGTATGCCCAGGGAGTATCGCGGACCGTGGCGTTTCTCGCAGGAAACACGATGTTTCCTTTCTAAATGTTAATGCATCCCCTAATCCCTTTCGTGTTGACTGATTGTTAGCCGCCGGATTACCGGGCCCTTCGCTGACGCGAAACGATACAAATCGGACGCCGGGCTCCGGACTCTCCACGCGCTCGTAATTGCTTATTAAATTAAAAGTACACGTATACACACGATGTCGACCTGCATGTATTCCCTCTACGCTTTTGCAATTTGTATATGAAGAGGAAAATCCTCCATTATGAGATTGGCTCCTAATACGAGACAGCAGGTTTTCAACATCAACGTTTAATCACAAATCTTTATTCACAACGACTGCACGATCTAACAATTCTCCACTAAACAGATTTCACTCCAAGGGCAATAAATTCACGACGAAGCCATAGACGATGCCTATTAAATAATAAAAGACAAAAACCCTGCTATCTCGTATCATGGGACTTCACGATATCTTATTGGCCGGTACTGCAAATATTAAAATATTCGACTATCGATATCGCTTGTTCAATCCCAAAACCGATTTGGGTTCTTCTCGATGGTAAAAGTAAAGAAGCACGTCCTTGATTTGTGCTTATCGCGTGGTTCTGACCCGCGATGATACTCGAGGGAAAGAGGGAGAGAGAGAGAGAAGGCATAGCGTGTGCCCGGCTGTACCACTCACCGCCTTCTCGCGCGATCACGATTTAACTGTGACGCAATCCCCCGCGCGTCCCTTATATAGCCACGAAGGAAATCATCTTCGTGGATCCAGCGGTACCGCCTGTTACATTGTTAAAGGCCCGCCTCGTGGGACTACGTGGAAACAATCCTCGCGATATCCTCGAATAACGAATCATTAGCGTCGTCCCGGGAATCCGATCGCAGAAATTACGGGGCCCGTCTATCGGCACCTCTCGGCAGTCGCGCGAAGAAACGGGCGGGATCACACGCGCGTACGATATTTTAATCGGCGTTTGTTAAGATTTTTTTTTAGCGAAAGACGTCACGATGAATTAATTGTCCGAGTCTCGCCGTCTCATTATTGAATAATTTCATTACTTCATAGACTCGGGGAAATAATGGAGCTCTAACGGCGACCGGAGCGAGCGGATGAGCGTATGCAAATTGAATTGTAAAGCGTTCTTCCGCATACTTTACACGCCAATTAGCGCTATTCCGCGGAATTAAGTCGGAAGTTTATCCATATTCTGAATTGCCGGGTGAAAAATACGGTTACCTTTTAAGACTGAACGTATTATTAACGCGGCCGCGGTTTTAATTAACGTTGTATCCACCGGAGATTCAGCGATAGAATTAATAATATACTTGCCTTTAATTACAACGATAATATTGTCGCGCTGCCAGTGTCGCCCGGGACAAGTTGTATTAACGATCTGCCACGAGAACAGAAACCCGCCGAGTTGCTAATTGTTGTTGAATTGCAGGGAAGGGGGTGGTGTGTGAGCGGACATATTTCTCTTTTAAGTATCGCGCGCACGGCACGGCAGGATGACGTAAGGATATGCGTGCAACACGATAGTTCGTTCCTTTTTCATTATCTCAAGCTGTAATGTATCTGCAAGCACTCTGTGAAGTGGTTGGAAGGCATTAGAGCAGTTAGACGAAACAGTGTCAAGGGAGATAATTCGGTAAAAATAGGATTCCACGTCGGTTTCGTGTCGGAATGCGTAACGTGTGGTATTCCGTATATCTTATACTTAAACCAGATGAATAAAGGAAGGAGTAAGTGAAGCAATTAAACCGCACGGCGATGTTCATTAATGAGCGACACGCTAAATTTCGTCCTTGTCAATTATATTTTCGCGCGTAAGTTTACGACGTGCAAAATTGCGTAATGACCATGGCGAATAATAGGCTTATTTGACGTGGCCTGTGTGTTAATAAGCTTAAATTTCCCGAGGTACATTTACATAATAAACAGAGGCATGTGAGTGCGTGCGACACGCATGTCCATATTCACGCCCATTCCTTGACACGCAAGGAATGCATGGAATTCACGGGTTATTTATAAAACACTAGTTATTTATAAAACAAAGATTTTCGTATGGTTTCTGGCACGAGAAAGGTCCTCGCCAGTTTTTCACAAGTCGCACAATCGTGTATCACACGCATATCGTTAATAAACGCCATTTCGCGAGCAATAATAGTAATAAATCGTATGTTAAATAAAAGTATAATTAGTCGCTCTAAATGTATCTTGTACATTCTATTTTTGAGATAAAAGAAAATATTATTTATTCCTTTATATATTTTTACAATTTTACTTCTATTGTTTGGACAGTTGTGTAATTCCTTGTAATTATTGGACTTAATGAAATTTATTGATTTCTTAATATGAATTTGCAAAATTTTATTGGAGCATTTCTAAAAGACATAATAAATAGAGCATGTTCCGCGATGGAACAAAATTTGAAAGGAGAATTTTTACTGTTTCACTCTTGAAGTAATCGAGTTGTCAAATGTTGTAGCAAGCTTGAAGACTACATCTGGCCACAGTGAGGCGCCATGAAGGAAGTCCAGGAGCAGCAGCAGCCCGAGTCAATGGAATCCAACGAGTCGGTATCCGGCTCGAACGAATACGCCTATCGACCACTCACGACGAAGCACAGAAGAGCTGGGAGTACCGGAACAACCGGCGATGAGGAATACACCACGGACGAGGACGAGCTCTACACGGACGAAGCTGATTGCGCCACGCTACATCCACCTCATCCTATTCTTAAATCGGACCTCGCGAGGGCAGCTACGGATCTCTTCGGGTATGTTACGAAATGCGAGGACGAGGACGAAGAACCCACTAGTCTATTCGACGAGGATGACAACAAGTTCCTAGACGATAGGTGTGTATTGGCTTTCTTCTACTTTCCTCTCGAAATCGCCTTCTTACGAAATACATAATCGACTTTTTGGCACAGTAAAAAATCGTGTGTGCAAATGTTAAAATTTTCTTGTGTTACCAAGATGTGATTATTTCAATGTAAAATTTACATAAAATAGATATGTTATTGTTTTCGCAAAATTTTCATGTGCTATATTTATGTTAACGTAATAACTTGGCACTTTATGTGTGCCACTAAAAAATTGAATGTTATTTTGAGTTCTTTTAACACAACTATTTCGCAAAACCAACCAAAACATGTAATATCGACATTTTGTAAAAATTATTTTAACTATTTCAATTTGTAACTATTCGTACGGTTCACTTAGCCTGTCTATTTTTATTACATCTATTTTTATTACATAAATGTGAAGTATAGCGTTAATAAAATAACATTTATAATTTGTCAAAAATTAATACGCACGATGAATATTATTTTAACTTAAAATTTTGAGTGTGGACCTTTTGGGACATGTGAAAAATGTTAGCATTAACATTTTATTTTTTACTGTGTGGACGGCCACTCGATAAAAATGTAGAATTTTCCGTGAAGGAATTTTTATTACATATAATAAAACTTAATTTAATAATATAGTGTTACAAAGTTATTAATACATTCTAAATTATTATTAATATATGAAAATTGATGAGTCTATATTAATTTAAACAAAGAGTTAAAATTCAGACGTGTGTTACACAATCAAATGAAGATTGAAGTGGCATACTGTATGCTATTGTAACTTTTAATGGATTATTAAACATGAAAGGTATTTTGTTACAATACACTTATTACGATAATAAACTGATTTTTGTTTCACCATTAAAGTAGAACTGTTTCCCTACAAAATGTATTTTCTAAGTTAATTTGCGGCAAACGTGTCTTTTTAATTTAGTTTAAAAGATTTACTCAACAAAAATTTTTTATGTAAAAATAAAGATTTTACTGTAATATCCAATAATTGAGCGGTAATAAGGTTTAATCGTCCTTTTATAGAATGTGCAGCAACAGCAATGATTTCGCTGTAACTGCAAATTCTTTTTCCTTCGCGTACAAAAACTGCACGAACGTTATATTCAAGATATTCGACCGATGTTCGAGACGGCCGAGTATAAACTGTATTATTATTGTTGTAAATTTATATGCTATTGATGACCACAATTTCTCAATATTTCAGTTCCAGTTCAACCAAAACCGCTCCATTGTTCGCGTACAACGAAAAACTACAAGGTGTCCTGTCGCGACATCGAAATCCATCAGAAGAGAAGAAGCCCGTGAAGCCCTGCGAAAAGCTGAAATCTCACGAGCTGGAAGTCTCGGAGTCTCAAGCTCAACGTACGAAACCTTTGGATTTTCGATTGAACGAAGCTGAGTCTGCGGGAAAAGCCAGCGATGAGAAAGCCGATTCGGACTCGAAGAAGGACAATTCCCTCGAATCGCCGAAGAGACTGTCCCTTCCTAAAGATACGCAGGTAATTTCAGTCCTCGGCTTATCAGATTTTGATAAGACATCTCATAGAAATAAGAAATTAATATAAAAAGAATAACTACACGTATGTATTATGCGTTAAATATAGATTTATATTTGTGAAAATATTTTAGCCGACAGAACCATCGAAGCAAGAATTACTGTGTGTCCCTAAAATGACCAACGGTCCGCCATCGCCTACTACCCAGAAATGGGGAAGAGCAGTGGCCGAGGTAAAGGAACACGCAGTGGCGAAGTTACAGGAGGAACTTAAAAGAGCTCATGAAGAATTGAAATTGAAGGACGAGGAAGTAGCCAGACTTTCACGGATCAGGCAGGATGTAGAGACTGAGCTCGAGGAACTCACTGCCAGCCTCTTTCAAGTCAGTCACCAATTTCGCACTTGTTAAAGAATTAAAGAATACACATGTTGCAAAAGTAAAGAAATTAAATTGAAAAGATATAGTACTAAATAAAAGAAATTTATATATTGTCTATGTGGGATTTTGTAAGTTGCCAAAGATTTGACAGAAGAAAAAAACGTAATCGCCCTTGATGCCTCGAATTTAAATTAATGCGCTTAAAGAGTTTTTAATCTATTAGAAAGCCACATCAGATAAATAATAAATATAATTTGGTAAAGAAATAAGATAAAGTTTGTAGAGAATATTAGATTATTTATAAAATGTATATTCAGGAGGCACACAATATGGTTCGAGAAGCTAACGTACGCCAGGCGACGGCGGAGCGTCTCTTGGAGGAAAGCCGAATGAAATCAGAAGTGCTCGCAGCTGAAGTAGCGGCTTTGAAAACTTTGGTGCTCACATCTACACCGTCAAGGCCCAATCCCCATCTGCACCCTCAAATCGACACAAAAGGACGCGTTGGCAATGGGGAGGAAAGCCAGCAGGGGCTCTTTGCGAAGAAGCACCGAAGGTAATAAACAATTTTCTATTAGATTTATAATTTTTCAAAACTGTCGAGTGTTTTAAATGTGGAAGTAAGAAATTTGAAACGACTTTACATAATATCTTTCTACATTGTTTGTCGGTAATTTTTAAAAAGTACTTTTATGTGTTACAAAAAATTAGAAAGAACCGTAATTCACAATTGTATATTTTGTCGATTTTAAGGTAAAAAGTAAAAAATACAGAATAAGGCAAAATAAATTTAAATGAAAAGTGATATGAAAAATTTCGTTAATTTTTGCGAGTTAAATTAATTCATTGAATTGATCCATTGAAAAATGATTTGCAATTCTGACGCAGGTCGCCGTCGCACTTTAATTTAAAGTATGGCCGAGAGAATTCGCCGCCTGATTCGCCTGTAAAAGAACAAAGATCACCTTTGCCTACCGATAAGGAAGCTCTCGAGAGGGATTGGAAGCGTGATCGTGAGAAGGAGAAGGAAAGGGAGTGCAAGGACTTTGGTCTGGAAGTCGATCCGAGGGTCCATACGGAGTTTCTCAGATGGAAAACGAATCCTTGCGTTGACAAAAGCGATCCCTTCGTCGCGAGGGCATTTAGAGAGGATATTGACCTCTGCTTGGATTTCCCGAATAAAGAATTGGGAGCTAAGGTCAGGCAAGCCGTTTTGGATGGCATCATATTTATCGAAGCGGTCAGCGACAAAACGAAACTCGCTTTTCCCAAGTACGTTCTTAAGTTTCTCATTATATAACAAGTTTCTCGTTATAACAAAGTACTCGATGTCTTTTTATATTGTGAGAGAAAAGGCCTGCGAGATCTTATGTGTCGTTTAATGGACAATTAAATACATTTTATAATTTTGTACATATTTTAATTATTACACTGTAATATTTTTATAGCTTTTATTATATAGCTTTTAACGCGTTAGTATTCCTGAAATTTTGTAACTTTATGTTTCTGTAATGTGTCTGTAATACTGCATTGTAATTTGTAAGCTCGCGAAGTTGTTCCAACAATAGTTGAAAGATTATTTACTGTTAGTTACGATTAGATTGTTGTTTATGAAACGCAAGACGTTTTTATAAAATTTTTGTACAGTGATGGACATAATGGTTGCGACACTTTTTGAAATGAGTTTAGGAACATGAGTTTAGGAAAATGAATTTAGATTCAGGGTTCCAAAATCTTCTTCTTCGAGGAATAGTTTACTCGACGGCCATTCCGAAACCATTTTGAGCGTTTTCGATCTATTTCTCGAGTAAAATTTTCTTCATAGAAAATGTTTTGGAACGTAAATCTTCTCAATTTATTAAAGAAAAAGTGTTGCCACCCTTCTGCCCATCACTGTACATGTAACAACGATAATATTTCGATTTCAGAAAATGTGCTTTGTTAGAGGCACCACGGCAATGTCACTATCGTATGCGGCTTGGTGACCAAGAAAACCAGTGGCACTGCATTTCGCAGATCTGTCGTAATCGAGTAAGTTTTACGTACAATCGTCATTTATTTCAAAAACCTTAAAAGTTCCGTTTTGTAAGCAATTGTTATTTTGCAGATTATTGCAGTGTGTGACTTTCTTAATTATTTGAGATACATCGAGCGTGGTCTCGTCAAAAGCTCAGGTATGTCTTTTAAGCTTAGGTGAAATGTCTTAGGCACATAATAACAAGTGTCATAGGTATATAAATTTTATTTCAACACATATAATGTACTAATATTTTTAGCAATTAATTAGAAAATTTGAAATGTTTTAATATTGCATTTATAATGCATTTAAAAGTTACAAAAAGGAGACTTCCGGACAAATGTGACTTCGATATGTAGTTCTTGGATGAAATATTGGAAATTATATAAAGAAATATTAAAAATTGGAAGCAATTCTGATTTTTCTAATAATGGAATGTCTTAACCTGCAGTTCACGACGTTTACTGGGAGATCACGCGGCTGAGAAAGGAAATGGTTTTTGCACGGTTGGGTCTGGCATTGTCGTCCTGAGGTTCGCGTAGGCGGGATGTCATCTAGTCTCGAGTTGATTCGAGCCAGGTGTTCATTGTTTGAAAATGGAATCTGTCCGTGAATTGTGCAGAATAATTTAGCGACGCTCTCGTCGATTATCGGCCTTTTGTGCAGCGAAGGGAAGGGTGCAATGTTACAATGTATATCTTTGAGATACATACATTTGGAGTCTCTCTAATTCTCTATGTAAAATAAATCTGATGATATTATAATGACGTTTCTAAAAAACTTACGTGCCATTCAGAAAACTCGTAAAAAGTAGATACAATTTATCGATGGCTCTTCCACCTGTTGATTATAAATATGATAGCAGTGTAATTAATAAAATTAATTTACATACACCAACTTATTTCTGTTGTTTAAAAATAAAGTTATTCAGGGTTAGATTTGATGTTAATTTTGCAGTAAAACGTCAACTTTTTGCACGTAAATTTTTTCGAAATATTGCCAAAATAGTGCCGTCTACGGCAGATTCTAGATTTAGTTATTTGCGAGCAAGTTGTAAGACGATAATTAAGCTGATTACGAGGCTGTGAATGATCTTGACATGCGGATCAGACATTGTCGATGGCTCTCCTAAACGAGAAGTGTAAATACTAGGAAAGATTTTTGAGATATTGTGTCATGTTTTTTGAAGTTTAATAGACGTCGGACTTATTGTTAGACTCACGTGAATTATAACAACGGAGCTGTTAATTCCATGAGATAGTTAATGGTTAACAATCTTATTACATATATGAGATTACTTCATGCTGTGGTTTGGTATTAACACCGAGGAGAAGAAAAATCATGTTTTGCTAATTATTTATATTTGTTTTTGTTACGGATCAATTTTTATTTGTCGTCGCGTGTCGGGTCGTAGTGACTTCGTTGTTTCGTTGTGTTAATTTATCAATATATACGTTGTGTTAATTGTTAATCTGACTATGGCTTCCATTAAATATATACCGTATAAATTTATTCTAAAGTGTTTATACCGTGCCACCGAAATTCGAGAACATAAAATTATCATCAAGACTTCTATCATCTAAACTAATTAATTTATTGTTGGTTCATATTCATGTATATATACTTTCGACACATTATTATTCATAAAGAAGAGTTGCATCTATGCGGACCATACAAATCTCCAAATCCTAGTGTAAATAGAATTTCTCTCGAAACTTTTCATGTCATATAACGATTCTATACGTCTATATCATAATGCGTCCGGTTATACGGAACATATTTCTTTCTACTTTATAAATATTAGTCTGACGTATTGCATATGTATATTCGTTCATAGAGATTACATTAATACGTCAATCGCAAAACTGATATTTGTATCAGTCATCTATCTCCTGATTGTACATATGAATATATATTTTGTTTACTACAAAGAAATATTCTCAACTTCAAATTTCGACTCGTGATACGCCAATTAATTTTTTCCGGGATCAATAATCTCCGCGATAATTTTCTGATTAATTCGCTCGAAGCGAATTGTAAAAGTGACAGGATAGGTAGTTGTTTCGGTAATATGAAGACACAAAGACTTTTATCTTGTTTCTGTTGTCTTCCATCCTTTATCATGTTCGATATGAAGCGTGCGAAAGAAAGTGATTATGTGATCGGTTCACCATTTCGAATTATGCCAAGTAACGTGTGGCCAACGACGAAAACGAATTACGTTCCCTAGACTGTTACGGGACGTTTAAAAAGACTTCTTGTAAGCATTTCTCTTGTGAATAGAAAACATGTTAATTGTGTATCAAATGTAAATAGAGTCTTCTAACATTACTTGAGATAGAAACTTGTATTTAAAAACGAAATAAAGATAATCGCCATTGTAAAAAAAATGTGATAACAAATTATCACAATCCTTTTGAAAAGTAGCATTTTATTATTCCAATTCTTATAAATAATGGATAAAATACTACAATTATTTCCTTGCCATACAAAATGTTGTTTTGTTATATTTTATATTGTCTCGCATTCATGTCGCATACCTTAATAGTTAAGACAGTTATTTTCTCTTGATAGCAATAACACTTAGATGAGGTGGTGCGATCGTAAAGCCGTCAACACCGTCTAAAATGGGCTCGGGATGTCCCTGGGGCAACACAAATTGAAATTTCTGCAATAGACTCGCAGTAAACAAGAATACGCTGTTCCTTGCCAGGACCTCGCCTAAGCACTTCCTATGACCTGTTAAATCGTTAAATGTAATATTTCCAGTTTCATACTTTTAGAGTGGATTTATATTTTTCTTTATACCTAAACCGAACGGTATTAACCAAGGATCCTCGATGTATTCTCCTTGGTCATTAATAAATCTCTCGGGCCGAAATATCTGTGGATCTCCCCAATGCTGCTCGTCCATATGCACGCTCCGCAAATTAGCCAGCAAGGTATAATTCTTTTTTATCTCGTAGCCCAACAGAATGGAATCGGCCGTCGCTCGATGAGGAATTGAAGTGGGACCGACGTTAGACAGTCTCATTACTTCAGCTATTGTCGCGTTCAAATACGGCATTCTGAAAATTTTCGGTCGAACATTTGCACAATAGTGTGCGAACGAAGTAATAGACGAAAGTCCTCTATTATGAGATAGGTTTCTAATATGAGATAGCAAGCTTTCAACATCCAAATCTTTTTTTCGCAAGGATTACACGATTAATGAATTTTCCACTAAATAGATTTCGCTCCAAGGGTAATAAATTTATGACGGAATCAACTGATGATGTCTATTAATTTAACAGAAACGCCGCTATCCCATAGGATCTCATCTCATAATAGGGACTTTTCTCTGTTAACGATATGCCGAGCAAGTTTGTACCGATTTTTGTACACTACACGAGGTAAGAGTTCTTTGCCTAACACCCTGTCGATTTCCTCGTGTACTTTTCTTTGCACGTCCTGCTTCACTATGAGATACGCGATTATGAAGCCAATTGTATTGTTTGTCGTTTCCACACCGGCGCTGAAGAGGTCTTTCACAACACTAATTAATTGATTTTCTGGAAGTAAAAATATTCTGTATATTATCCATCATGTATTAACATTTTTTGTGCCATTATTTTCATGAGAACTAATTGTTTGTTGCAGTATTGTTAAAATAATAATTTTTAATAACGCTCTTGTTCTGTGTGGTACTTTTTGTTTTTACAAAGTACAAAAATCTAGTAATTCAACCTGAGAATTTTTTACCAATTGGCAGAAAACGTAGTATATTTAAACTTGCGTTTCCATTGTGCGTAAAAAATTTCTCATTTACACAATTATGTATATTATGAAGCATATCGTGTACCATCAAAAGACGATACGGTCGAGGTTGATTGCTTGGTGTCCATTTCCGCTAGGTAAACATCGATAAAGTCTCTGAACTCGCCGTGCGCTCTAGTTTGCTTGTGCTTCGTTATTTCAGACTGAAAGAGGATATCTTGTTCTATGTGTAAGGGTGTCTTATTTCTATCTGTAGGTGGAAATTATATCGCTAATGGAGGAATATCGTATTACCCCGATGAATTGCCACAACCGTGTCAATCTTTGATTTAGTGCGGTAAACCCGGATAACCCTGGGATAATGTATCTTAAAAATGGCAAGTGGGTCAATATGCCGCCGGTGACGTTGGTGTTTCTGATAATGCCGTTTAGCACTGATAAAACCTCTGTTAATTTTGGATTCTCCAAGTCGAACCTACAGCGACAGTAATCAATGTTATTTTCGATTTGTTGCAGGCAATTTGCAATAGCCTGTCAATATACCTTGACCCAGCGAGCAAAGTCCATAAACTGTTGAGGACGGCGATGGAGGTAATATTGTACAAATTGGTAATGGGCCCCGATTTAGCCAGTGATTCTATCATCGTCGTTAAGGAAGCCGCGTCGTTTAATATTATGTCCTCCATTGTAACATTTCCGAATCCAAATTCCTTCAATGTTCTCAGAACAAATCTGAATAATTTGTAATGAATCTTAATCTGGCCTGATCGTTCTTTAATGCATCTTTCTTTAACGAAAATAACGTAACAGCGACATTGAAAAAAATCTAATTTTAAAACACTTCGTAGAAAATGTCGAGAATTTGTTACTGCTGTGATTCATGAGAAAAGGCAACAATTATTTAAAAAGAAGTGTCGGGCGTAAAGTGAAGTTTTTTTTTTAATTTATATTTATGTCAAATATACGTTTTGTGCAGTTAGATTAAATTGTATGACTTTTGGCTTTAAATTTAATAATTGTATGCAAAATACCTTCTTTGATCTCGCCAGATATCGCCATCGGTGAACAGTACACCCCTGCGTTCACCCCCTGTTCGAAGTTTATGTACGAATCCATTAGGTCTGCCGTCAAACTGAGGTCGATTCATCATCTCGATTACCGCGTCCTTACCGGAAACAATGACCAGCGGTTCGGCTATGCCGAGTTTCAAGCCGACGATGGGTCCGTAAATGTCGGCTAATCGACACCAGGCGTAAGAATAAAACTTCGTCTCGTCGACCAAACGTTTTACATCGAGTATGTTTCCCAGGATCGGTAAGCCGCGAGGTCCTCGAATTAGAATATTTTGCAAATATCTTATATATCTATGTAAATTGCCCGACAATACGAAACATTGAGTCGTGCGCATGAAAGTAAAGCGAATGTTCCTAAAAGGTAGAAGTAAGTCTGTGAAATATAAATGCCATTTTCGGTTGCATTTACGTTGCATTGCATTTTACAGACAAATATTAAGAATCTGCTTATTTTAATAAAAAGAGTTTACCACTTGTTTTATTTGTATACAATTAATTATTGCTTTTTAAAATGTGTCGCATATGTATGAGATCACAAAAATATTTTTGAAATTATTGAATAGATAGTTTTTGAATATAAATCTGCCTTGTTGAAAACGATCGCGATAATATATAGTTTACCTGGAGGAAACATCGGTGGTCGACGCCAGTCAAGTAAGATTTTTATCGTGAATGTTATCACCAAGCAAAGAATTATAAACCACATTATTTATTTGTTAATTAATGGCAATATCATGAAGGTAACAGAAATATTCTAAAAAATTTACTGTACTGTACTGTACTACAGGAATCCCCTTTTATATCTTAAAGAAACTTTTTACATCTTTCAAAGAGCAATCCAAGATGGATGCACCACAAATCAATGAATCTCGCATAAATATTGACTGTAAGTATTTTACTGAGTTTTCTATGATTTATTAATCGACTGTGTCTCGCATTAACTTGTTTTCGCGGCGGGCGACACTAATCGAAACTGAACCAGTCCTGTGGAAATTCTGTTATATGGGAGAAATACCTCCTTTCACTTTAACTGGCATATTGGGCAAGAGAAGTTTGGTTCAAGGTTTCATTTATGCAGGAATACATGTCTGTACATGCTACTGCAGGCATGCACGTAATAGTCTGCCTCTTCTCCTATTGGTCCTCACATTGAATTTCATTTAACTGCAAATACTTCGCGACACTTGCGACATCAAACCGCTTCCAATAACACGTTATGCAACATCCTTCGAATGAATTGCATCGATATTTCATTAGCAAATATCACCTTGCGGTTTTGGCAAAACAATTTATTCTAATGAAAACAGCTCATTATGAATGATTTGTATTTATTGTACATCTCTAATCAAAGTGAAAAGAATGGAAGAGAGGGAATATAAGTACGTTAATACTTAAGTGCTAATTAATTTGCAATAGGAAACTCATTAGAGTTATGAAAAATTATATCAAGACGTTTCGTAGAAGCGGGTACAGGAGTTGCTTAGGGGACGAGAATGCGATGAAATGCGCGGCTGGGCCATTGCTAATATCGGCGATTATAGTGGCGCGAGGTAATCACAGAAGTTATAAGCGGCAGATGTGGGAATCGTAAATTCGCAATTCCAATCAATCGCGCTCATATCAAAGCGCACGCTATCCCCGTACTCCATTTCGGCATTCGTGGTTCAGCTAACACTTTGCGCAAGAGCGTTTACGATTTCGCGCTCACACGCGATCCGACACATCTTTCCTCTTCTATTCCCCGGGCCCACGTCGACAATCGTCTTCGTCCGGCCTCTTCCGCTTAGCACGCAACGTCAAATCGAAATGAGAACGATCGAGCAGGCTGCCCGGTGTAATAACGTTCGCCGCGAACCACTTAAAACCGTCGAGTTAATCCGACCGCGATTATCCGGTTGAATTGCCGAATCGTCCAGAATACGTAGGTTAATGACACTGTCACAACTATTGTTAATAAACTAATAAGAATATTCTTAAATGTCGCCTGCAGTAATTAACAACGTCAGTGTTTTCTTGACCATATCTGGCATTTTTAATAATACAGAAAATTTATTGCGAAAAACATTACCTCAACCAGGGTTTAAACCTGGACTTGCCTACACTCTAGACGGGCGTGTCACCAATTCGACCACTGAGGCTGGTACATCAGCCTAGGGAAGTCCAGGTTCAAACCCTGGCTGCGGTAATGTTTTTCGCAATAAATTTTAAGTGTTGAAAAAACACATCGCCCCCGGGTGGGTTCGATTATAAGCTTAGTCATTTACTGGGGTCAAATAATTCTTCGAGTTTAGAAAACTTATTTTTGAGGAAAAGTTAAATAATAAACAATTATTTCAAAACAAAATAAAAAATAAAAAAAATAAATATAAACAATAATTTTAACAAAGAGATATCAGAAAAACAGATATCAGAAATGTGACATTCTTAAAATATTCAGGACATGTTATCTACGAGATATCTCAAATATGACCGGTGCAATGATGTCTGATTTAAGTCTCGGATATACATATTTTGTTGTGTGGGATAAATATAAAGATACAAATTTAAGAATATTTAAGAGAAAATGTTTCAAACAGTTCTTTGCTCCAAGATATTGCCACAATAATACAGGAAAAGTTTGTGAAATGAGATATAAAAACAAAAGAATTTTGCAATTTATAATCTACGCGTGTCAAAATTATAATTATTTCTTATCGACTTCTTCAATCCATAAGTATATTTCTGAACAGGTTTTAGAGCGCCTGATACTATAATATAAATAGTTAAAAGGAGATTTTAATCATGTCCACACCTTCATTTGGATTCGCGGTATATTTCGCTTTTGACGCTTTTCTCTCGGCACAACTTCCGCTGCAAAAGTGAAACGACGTTGTAAAGTCGGAAACGACTGTCAACAGCAATTATGGGGACCAGAGATCACAGCACCCGCGGGTGATGGTCCGTAAATTATTGCCATCTCGGCATCAGTAGCGATAAAACGATCAGCGAGAGACAAAGGAACATATAAAGCGAGCCTTACTTCCCTCGACGCACAATAGATGAAGCTGCGTAACATACAGGTAACGAGCAATCGCCTCGTCACGAGTTGATGGTAGCAACGTAAGAAGACAAAAAAAAGAACAGGAATAAATGTTATTATAATTATCATTGGATAAAGAAAGGTTCTTAATTTTCCCATGCTTTTCTACCGAAACATTTATATTGTATTGGACGAGAGTTGATAATCGGCTCCTTATTAGAAACATGAGACTAAAAATAATGGAAGTTTATGAAATTTTTGTTGGAAAATAACTATTTAAGTGCGATGGAATGTTACGCGATCATTTTCTTAATCACAAAACTTTTTCAAGTACTTTGTATGTTGTCAGTTGTAATTAAATTCTAAAACAATAAATAAAAAATTGACTCAAAGATTTTGATATCTTTGTCACCAAAGTAATACATATTCAAAAAAGTAACCAAATGTAATTATGAGATAAAGTAAACCGCGAGTCTTTTTTTTGAGTGTAACGTTATAATTCAAGGACGCGGAACAACTGCAATTCATTAAACTTTTAAATGCGGCGAGCCAAATGTCCTTCTTGACATAGAGAACAGCCGAACAAAGCAACAGGACTTTATCGTGCATAACGAACGAAGACATGAAATTAAATGTTTCATGGTCAATTATCGATTGCCTGTTAAATTGAAATGAATATAGCCAAATGTAGAGTCTCTTAATAAATCCAAGGAAACCAACGCAGTGATATTCCAAGACCCCAAAAGATTTTAAATATAACTTTCGATAATAACAGTATTTAAACCTAAAAGAGTTTGGTATAAGAAATAATTTCACATAAGTGCTTAAAGTTGCTTAAGTAAGTTTTACATAAGAAGTAGGCAATTCATTTTATTAGTCTAGACACTAATTGTCTGACAATTGTTAACAGATCGTATAAAGTGTTGGATTAATTCGAACATGTGTACGAAACATTCGTTATTCAGTCACGTAAGACATTTTGACAAGGTAATTATTCCGTTGGTGGCGAACGATTTTCGCTCGGGAAGCGAAGGCGGGCGAGATGTATTTAATCGACAGATCAAACCATCATTGAGGTGACGAGGAAAATACTGACAAGGGAAATTAAGGCGCGGAATAAGGGGACGAGACGTTGGCTGCTGCTGATAACAAGTCCGGAAAATGAAGATGCTGGGTCGGGGGGGCTTAAAAAGAAGCGGGGTTGGAGGGATTCGTTGATAGGTGGGGGCGGCGACTCGCATTTACCGAAGGTGCTAGGTCCAGCCGAGTTGGCATTCGATAAGAACAGACTTCGATTCAACATCAGGCGGGTGCTACCGTCAGCGTGGACACCATCGAGACTTTGCTTATCGTGGTCAGTACCAACGACAAACGGCGGCTCAATCTTTTCTGGAAACATGATTCAGTTGTCGGATGATCGCTTCCTAATTAGAAGTTGAAGATTTGATTAGTTCCATTGATACTGTACACTGATCAGGTGGATTAGTATACAGTGAATAGGAAGGAATTAGTTTACAGTGATTAGGAATTTTGTTGGTAAGACGAGAGATTTTGATCTGGTATTGGATGTAGGCTGTGTTTGCTGCCCGCAAAGCAAAGAAGATCTGAAAAGAACAAAGAGGTAATATTCTGGCGGCGATGCTGGTTCGCGCGCCACACTCCTTCCTTTTCATTCTTGCGGTAGGTTTCCTTTTTGTACTCTATTTAATCGCGCTATTTAGAAGCTATAATATAAAGTTGAGTTTAGAGCAGAACATTTTTTGCTTCACAAATAATGTTTATTCCAGTAAAAAACCTAGTAGACTGAGCAAAGCAAAATTTTTACGCAATATGTGAAGAAATTACATAGAGAATATATAAGGAGAGAAAATAGTATTATAACAAAAAAAATTATAAGTAATATATAGGCATTGGTAAAGAATGAAAAGTATTTGTAACCAAGAATATTACTTTTACTTTCAACGATTTTCTCCTTTTATTTCGTTGTTTTAATTGGATGTATTGTAGTTTATATTTTCTCTCATTTTGCTATCATAAATACATCAATGTTAGATAATTAAATTTTTTGTTAGTCTCAACAAAATATCGCCGTTCTTATCGTAACGTATATTTTATTCTTTGACTGTTCTCACTTTCGTGCCGACGCACTGTGCAGTCATTTCGCTGGTTAATCTCGCGTGCCGAGATATCGTCGGGTTTGCATGGTTTGATCGGGGACCAATTGTGAAACTGACATTTTCTAAATTAAATCGTACACATGATCGCCGCCACGCGATATCGGACGTCTTTACAAAACTTTCCCACGTATCTCTGGAAAACTATTTACTGACTTTTACAAATATGTATTACTTTCAATTTCAATTACGCCTATTAGTAACAGCATAATATATTTACTTCAATATTATCAACGATCATTTTTATCGATATATTATATTTAATTGAAACAGGTCTGCTGTTGGTTTAGACATAATGCTGCGGTTCCACTTGCCTCTCATTCATCAAATCAAGTATGTGTAAACTATACATGTATTTTTTTATGTTTACATTTATTTCTGTGTGGCACGTATTATACAAGTATTTTTATTTAATGTAAATTTAATGAACGATACATTTGTTTTTCGCTTACTGTGTGTCAATACTTTCCCGTTAATTTATCGTTATTACACTTAAAACAATTTTTTTATACACACTTTCCATATTTTTATATTTAAAAAAAATGTTGCTAAAAGATTTTCTATTTTTGTAATTAATTAATTTGTTTTTATTTTTTGTAATTTCGTGAATAAATGCAGCATTAATGTATTATATCATGCATTTATCATTATTACTTTTATAAAACGATGCTTCGGATATTTTTTCATCAATCATGCTTTATGCAATTGCAACACCTTGATTTGGATTCATTCACTTGGCGTGGATTTTGCACATACATTCTAATTAATTTTATTCTAGGACTGATAACACTTTCATGCGTTAATAAAAATCGGCTGTGTTAAACGGAAACATTTGTACGCGTATCTGACAATGAGCCATTTTCTTCAAATCAGTTTAGTCTTGTAATCAAATGTTCTTTGGCACCTGTCTAATTCTTTAGATGCAGGATGAATACAAAGAGGAAAGCTCAGATTCTCAGTCTGATTCGGATGACACTTCCTTGAACTCGCGTTCCATAAGGGAGACAAGAAGATTGGATTCCACATCCGAGGAGGATGACGAAAATGACGAAAATGAAGAAAATGATGAAGATGACGAAAGTGGCGAAAGTGATGAAAAGTAAAATATAATAAATATAACAAATCTATGTAGTAAAGCATATAATATGTAGGGGAGATTGCTGTACTTTGGATACAGGTGTACCTTGGAACATTGGACTTGGTTTAGATACTAGCGACAATTGAGTAAACTAGAATTCGGTCGTGTTATTGTACTTTTGATATTGTTTTAACTAGGATTTGTGTCACTCACTAGTGTAAGCTAAGCAAAAATTTTTCAAAATCTAAACTTGAGATATATAAATTTTCCTAATTAAATTTAGAGATTCAAACCTTGTTGTTATTATTTTTAAACTTTAATTGCTGTGACTGATTTTTCAAGCATGTCCTACTTTTACTGACAATCTTGCATAATTCTAACTCTACTGTGAGCTACTATTTACTTCTTAATAGAAAATTGTACTCCGTTGTACCTTGGAACAATTTATCCTACGTACCTTGGAACATCGTCTCAAAGTGTATTTAAAAAATCAAGTACTTCGCACAATTTGCTTTTATTTACTAAACTATTTGTGATTTACCTCAATCACAAACAGTGTTTAAGTACGGAGCAATTATGGATGACCATTAAAAAAAAAGACTCATTAGTTTAATCCCTAGCAATTTAATTTAACACTATTGATTGTAGCAACATTGAATTAATTGTAATAATAAAAGAAATTAGATGAATTTAGTTGATGTTCCAAGGTGCGAAGAAGTTCCA